GAAATACATGTCTGGCTCCTCGTATTTTCCGCCCCCAACGTCGGTGCGCTCGATAAATTGTCTGCCGAGCAAGGCGGAGAAGAAATACGCGTACAGTGACAGCGTGACTACCTGGAAAACGTGAATAAACTCGGTGTTCAAATTCGTTCGATTAACCCTTTGCACTTGACTCAAGTAACTCATACTTAAATCTAGCCAACAGCTCGGACTTCTTCTTTTCATAATTTACTGATAATTGCAACAGACGCCTAGAATGAAAGCTACAATAATGACGTGAGAGGAACAGAAGAATTTCTGAAAACCCGAGTCAATCGAATAATACTCATTATTATATACAATTCACATAAACTAGACTTCTTATTGCTTCTTAAGAAAAAAGGATAGAGGATATTTTATTTGATGATGCTTCGTAAATAAATTTCTGATAGATGATACGAAAAAAAGTTTTAAAAAAGGGTTAAAGACGACGTTGCGTCGACTGAGTAAAACTTTTCTTGTCGTAAAATTTCCCACGATAAAGGAAGGAAAAACAACGCGATTCGCTAACCAAACGTCCCCATTGGACGCGGCATTGTCGGGAGGACGAGCGATTTAATCAAACGACAGAAATTTATAGGTAACTATCACCTGGTTACGTCATATTGTTCGATTCCTGGAACACGAGTATCGTATACTTTCTGCGTGCTCGGGGAATAGCGAACAAACGCGAAACGAAGTAGCGTTACTCGCGTCGCTATAAATATCGCTTCGCTCGGCGAGTTGCTTTCTTCGTTCGTTTTCAAGAATACTTTTACGAAACTTAACGCGAGGACGCGGCGTGGATAAGCTATACGCTGCAGTTGACGGCGAACACAGAGAAAGTCTCTGCACTGCGACAGTGCAGAAAAGTCAAAGTCATCGCGAAACGTTGATCGTTGATCGTTTCCAAGCGAAGGTGAAAGGTTCCTTTGTCAAAGGGCGTGCAACACTTCAAGCGTGAACGCGCGGACGAGCAGATTTCAGTTTGAATGGCGTTTTAAGAGCACTGCCTTTCTCATCGAAGGTCGTCAGGAAACGATTGTTTATGCAAAGACTGGTTGCCGGCAACAGAGACGTACAATCGACGTTTTATCTTTAGACTTTGATCACCGCGTGTACCAGGAGGATCGAGATGATCGCGCGTCGAACTCGCGCCGTGAAAATTATTTCCGCTGTATCGACAGCCGCGGTGCCGTGAGATTACCGCTCGACTCATTCGTCGTCCTTGACCATGCGGTGCGCGCTGTCTTCTTCTTCGTTCGTGCGCTATCGGCGAGCCACTCGTTTCTTTAACGTGAAAGAGATATAATCGTCGTTATACGCGAGAGAGATAAAGAAAATTATATGAATTATTTAAATTTCATGGTCTATTTTAATTAAAAAAAAAAAAGCATAACGTTGCTCAGAATTCGATAGAGCGATCGTAGAACGCATTTCGAGTCAAAAACCAATTTGGTAGACAAAGGGAAACTAGCGGGGAAATAAAGGATTCTCGGGTTTGCTCTCTCTCTCTCTCTCTCTCTCTCTCTCTCTCTCTCT